CTGAAAGTTTCAGATTGGGTTTTGCACATCCTCTATGTAATCTATCTTCCCGTCGCTCATCATTCCGACTACAATCCTAGACGCTGGATTCTAGACCCCTCACTTTTGTTGAAACCTCTTTGTCACTAAAAGCCAGTGAGTAGGAATTCCTCAGCAGGGATCTGGGGAATGCACTTAAATGGAATTTTCATAAAGCGACAACTTGTTGGAACCCGGTCTCGAGAAAACGTCTTTTGATCTGTGTTAAGGACTTGTTTTTTGGAACTCCTGGTCTTTTCGCTGAACTTTTATCTGGTGTGTTGTGTGATTTTTGACTGAACTGTAACGGATTCTCGTGTCCCTCAGTCATTGAGATGTTGATTCTGCAGAAATTCACATAGGAATTCAATTTCGATGCCACTCAAGCAACTACTTATCGTTTCCGTTATATGTCCGATTTGATTGGTATACCGGTTATTATCAGAAACCTTTAAACAGATTTGAGCACACCGTATAGTGAAATTTGCACGAGCACCATTGTGTTGTGCCATTTAGCGTCCTAACAGTAGTTGGTACAATATTGTTTTGGTCTTGTCAAGAAGCCAATCGGAATCTGCTCCTCAATCCTGTAAATCGGGTTCTGTCATAGGTGTGATAGTGTTTGATATAGCTGTATTACCCGTCAAGATAGTTTATTCTTGGGATAAAATCGTGGATTATTATGTCAGTCCCCCTTTTGACGATGCATGCTAATCAAACTGTTTTTTTCTTCTTAGATTGCTCAAAATTTGCGAAAAAAGCGGCTCGAGAATGGAGCGCTCACTTTACAAAAGGCAAAAATTGAGTTTGATCTACCTTTCACACTATTCAACCAACATCCAGAACCCGCCGTTGACTGTTCACAGTCTGAGTGAGTCCGACAATTAATTCTGCCTCTATTGCTGATATAATTTTGTATTTTATTTATTTTTGGTTGCTTTTCCACAGATATTTCTTGGTATTGATATTTCTGTCTTTATTAATTGCTGTTTTCATTCATTTGTGAACCCCGCTACGGTGTATTGTTTTCAACTTATGTGCAGTGGTTTTCCTTTTCTATTTTGATAGGGAAAGTTCGTCTACGTCCACCACGGCGAATCGGACCATCTGGCCCCGGGGTTATTCAATCGAGACTCCGGGACCAGCCAACCACCTGATCGAGGAATGGATGCTTGCGGCGAATCAGGCGGTGGCCCGACGCCTGTTTGATGAATTCTGGAAGCAACGGTTTACAAAACAATATCGTGTTCGTCGAGCCATTCAAAGTACTTTTTTGAACGAAAATAAATGGCCCGGTGTTTTGCTTCGTAGACACGACGCTCCAGCCTCGGCCGATATGAAACGATTGGTAAGCACCTAGTTTTTTTCTTCATTCGAAAAATGTGGCCGCGGTAGGGCGAGTAAGGAAGCAAATTGCTTCAAGGTGGATCGATAAATCGATCACCATGCTCCGGTGCGAGTGTTGGAATGAATCATTGCATGGGCGGGTTCAATCAAGGCTCCCGATAGCCTAGTGAGTAAATTCCATTGAGGCAGAGGCTCCTTCGAGTAACACCGATTCCGTGCAACAAAGTGTCATTGCCTACATGTTTCTAGCAATGAAAGGCACACTTGACGCGATACTTAGCAATGTCACAGCGATATACGGTGAAGAAATTTTCTGTATTTTACTTAAATAACAAGATCGAATTTGAACCCATTCACTAGCTAACAGAAATTACATTTTTTCTCTGTAGTTCAAGGAGTGTTTATTGCATTCTACGCACAATGGCCATGGAAACAAGCTGTCGCCTACAATTTCTACCTTGGGTACTCAGCTTTGTCACATAGATTCTTATCCTTGTGGCATCATCTGTGCAATCCTTATAGTTCAATGAATTAGACATGTGATGATCCGAATAACACACCATTGTGCTTGATTCTACAAAAGCTGATAGCACTGTACTTCATGAGGTATTAAGTTGGCCTAAGTACAGTATTTGACCCGCGTTTGCATTAATATTGAATAATGACTCCCTCTTTGTTGTTATTTCAGCTTATGATTGCATCATTTTTTCGTTAATTTTCTCTAGATTTCTTTTCTGCATGAAGGTGGCATTGAATTGCACGAACCAACTTCTAAAGGATTATCCGTGAGTTTGATCGCAACTGTTATCCTGATACTTAATTTTGGTACTCAACGAACCGAATCTCGTGGTTATCACATACGGTTCAAGCAAGCGAGCGCATTCATCCAATTTGGTCAAAGGAAAGATTTTAGCTTGTCTTTGTGTATCAGCTGAGAATCAGCCACACAACTGACTGGGACTGACCTATCCATCAGAGCGAGCTGTTTGCCACAATTCCAAACAAAGTGGAGTGATGCTCGATTGAACTATCTCGTTCGGTTATTCTTTTTACTCAATCCAGGTCAGGTAATCGCTTTGACCCGTCGAAGGGTGGATATTCAACAACCACATAACCACAGTGTATCAATAATTAAAAAAATTGCAATGTAATACAGCAGTGAAAAGAAATCAAACGCATAGCAACATCAAGAAAACCAATGGCATACCAGGGTATTTACGATTGGTTTAGTTTAGCATTTTGCGCAGATTTTCTGCCCCTAGTTCATGGTTTGTAAGAAATCTGGCGAGATACGGTACAGTAGAGCGCCTGTATGCTTTGGTGCGTCCCTTTATAAATTTACAACTGCTACAAGTGGATGATTAGAAAGGCACTGACTAAGAGCAGAATAAAGAGGATGGAATATCGGATAAAATCTTGTTGGAGAATGTTGTACAGGATGTGAGGTGGTATGCCACCGCATGCTGTACCAGATGTTCCCGTGGTATAAGACTGCATACTGACAGAAACTTGAAGGATCGAAAAGTGAGTTTGACGTCTTTGTTGAAAAAACCGAGGATGATATCATAGGACCCATAAAGCCAGTGGGGCAAAACGCAAGCAAACGCCTTACGATTTGGGATAGAAAGTGATTTGAAATATGAAACGTAAAACGTAAGCCTCCTGACCTTCACAAAAACGTCAGTGAGGTGGTCAGACCAGGTGCGATTACGGCTGCGAATAACACCAAGGTATTAACAGACGGTTGTTGATGGATCTGGTCACTGAAGATAGGTAAAGGCGGGCTGGCATGTGAAAATTCATCATACTTTGGTCTTTCAAAAGGGAACAAATTACGTCATTACATTTTTCAGGGTTTATACAGAGGTTCGTTTGCTGAGACCACTCAACTATTTCTGACATGTATTCTTGTAAATTGGTTTGAAATGATGGGTTGGGGTAGGTCAATCCGAATATTATATCGTCTGCGTACTAAAAAAGAAGGGAAGAATTGCTCACATGCATAGAGGAAACGTAAACGGAAAATAGCTAAGGGGATAAAATAGTACTTTGCAGTACGCCGTGAGAAGATGTACGACCTTTGTAGTGTGTGACCCGGTGAGGGTTGGAGGAATAGTTGACCAAGAGTTCAATTGTAAGAAGTTGAGCGCCGCCGGAACAGAGGGTATTTAGCAATGTTTGTCCATCAATCGTGTTGAAATCGCCACTAACGTCTAAACAAAAATAAATGCGTATAGTCTTGCTTCTCTTGTCTGAGGATGGATAAAACAAAGTGGGAGAGATAAGCAAGGGCATCCAGGGTACCGGGCGAATGGGTGTATGCAAACTGATTGCGGTCACCAACATTGAACTGTGTGGATAGGGTTTTAATCGGGAACCTCTCAAACCTCTTCAAAATAACTAAGGTGCAGGCGATGGGACGAA